GGGGGGAGGTCCCATTTCACCTTCTTCATCCATTTCATCATCTTCATCAATTAGATTCACTGATGCTTCAAAATTCATTTGAGTTCTTGCCACATTTTTCTTATCAACAAACGCTTTTACTTCCTCCCTAACCTCAGGCGGACAAAGAGGACATTGTATTACATTTTTATATCCACCTATCAACGCTGTTTTATGGAAAAAAATTATCAAGTCAATATGCAATTAATTCTACTGTATAATACTATAATTCTATAATTGAAAAAACAGAGCAAACAAAAAAAAGGCTACTGCCTCTGGAAAAACAGCAAAGAAAGAAGACAAAAAAAACAGAGCAAAAAATGAAATGATTCTGCCTCTGGAAACAGCAAACAAAGAAGAACACAAATGAAGAAATTGCCTCTGGAAAAACAACAAATAAAGAAGAAGACAAACAGAGCAAAAAAAAAAAAAATTAAGAGAAGAAGAAAGACCTCGGTTTTTGCTCGACAAATACAGCACAAAAACAGACCCTGTTTGGCTCTGTTTCTTTCCGACAAAAAACAGAGGAAAAAAAATAGAAAGGAGAAAGGAGAAAGGAGAAAGAAGAAGAAGCAATACCTGTTCTTTCAATGGAAGAAACCTCTGTTGAAGCTTGAAGAAGGCAGACGATGAAGAAGAAGACTGTTGTTTTGTTCGCAGGTGAAAAGCCCTAATCGCTGAAACCTCTGTTGTTTTGTTCGCAGGTGAAAAGCTCGAAGACCAAATGTCAAGTCCTAATTCCCGACTTAAGTCTTCTCCCTTTCTCTTTTTTTTAAAAAAAATTGCGTTGCTACAGTCGCTTCTCGCGACATTGTGTCTCGCGCAACACAGAGAGAGGCGACCACTATTTTGAATCGCAACGCAACAGGTCCTCTGAAGTGACACACCCTCGCCTCGCGTCGCTACACGCTTTTAGCGCTGTAGCGAGCGCTATTTATAACACTGCTCTCACTAACTTATCAAAAAGCAAAGTATTCTTACTTGCTACCTTAGTAGAAACAGAGGTATCTCTCACCAAATACGCGCACACATTGGTTTGACATGCACATCATTATCATAGATAGTATTTACCATGTTGCGAACAAGGTATGTGCTCCATTTTCTGGATATATCATTTGCATAGTGGCGAAGGAGTTATTATATCCATTCCTTGAAGGACTTGGTTAGATGCTACTCCTTTTGTCCCAAGTTGTTTAGCATAGATGTAATTTAAGAAAGAAAGGAGGACTTTAATACATAAGCTAAAGATGCATAAAATATAAAAAATATTCATATTACCAATGATCTGTGGAGTCTCCAACAATCCATGTCATTTTTTCAAGGGTGAAAAAAAGAATTTAAATATTACATAGTTTCTAGACTTCATTAATTTTTTCTTTTTACATAGTTTCTAGATATAGAGAGACTACCAAACAAGTTAAATCAGACAAATTAGGACAGAGGGATTAATTAATGTTATCATCACCCTTACTATGCAATATGTTGGGATAGAACTTTAGGGTTTAGGTCATAAGTCAAAGAAGGAAATTTTAAATATGTATGTCTCCCGCTGCATTCCTGTTAGCTAAGCATGTAATGAATTGCAACTCTGTTTAGATGGATTTTCTAGATGCTTCAAGTAAGGAGAAGAAGTTACTCTTGGTAAATGGGGAGACTATCACCCACTGTTATCAAAGGCGAAAAGTGCAAAAAAGCTCCAACATCTCTTGGGGATTTAAGCGCAAATAAAGCATGTGCTTTAATGAAGAACGACGCAAATGGAGAAAAACTACAAATATATATGTGTTGTCTCAGACTAACATCTATAAGCATGGATACCAAATATATGGACAAAGAAATTAAAGAAAATTTACGATAAAGTGAAATATCAATTGTTTAGTATCGCGCTCATTGGCAAGGAAGAGTGTGCCTTAGAGCCTGAAGCGCCCACTAAGCGAGGCGAAGCACTCCACATGTTTTGAGCCTCGCTTCAGGGCTTAAGCGCACTTTAAGCGCGCTGTTGATAACACTGCTATCACAACAAGAAGGTGTTGGGGTGAAATTTTGATTAAAGATTTAAGGGTTTTCAACAAGGCATCACTAGGAAAGTGGTTATGGAGATTTCGGGTAGAGGAGAAAGATTATTGGAAAGGGTGACCGCGGAGAAGTACGGCGGCTTAGACGGGGGATGGAGGATTAAAAGTGTCACTTTCCGTCGGTGCGTGCTATGGGGGAATATCTTGAAGGGGTATGAAGTTAAGTTTGGGCAGAGCCCAACTTCAGACCCGAAGGTCGGAAGAAGAAGAAGCAGCAGTAGCAGCAGGGGTTTAGTCTGAAGTTTGCCAAAACTGGCTAAACTTTAAGTAGTTTTTAAAAACTGGATATGTTTTAAAAGAGGTGCTACAAGTAGGTAACTGGTGTCATTTCTACCTTTAGTTGTACTGAGTCACTTCCTTGGCCTTGTATGAATTGAAATTGTAGGTTAAATAGCAGTATTGCTTTCAAGTGATATGCAGGATTTTATGGCATTTTGCTACTATTCAATGTTTAGCTCTCTTCATTGGTTAACCAGAGATTTCTTTTCTTTCCATGCTTACAAATAGCTACCGCGCTGCAATCAGATGTCCTTTCAGCGTCCTACATGTCATCTCTTGAATATTTATATGACTAACTGGTCCACGTATTGATCCCTTTTCTGTACTTTGTACTTTTCAGTTGAAGGTGCACTTGCACATCCTTACCTGAACTCGCTCCACGATATTAGTGACGAGCCCATTTGCATGACTCCCTTTAGCTTCGACTTTGAACAGCATGCCCTTACGGAGGAACAGATGAAGGAGCTGATTTACAGGGAGTCGCTTGCATTTAATCCTGAATACCAGCATATGTGAATAATTGCTGGTAAGATTGTTGTCAGTTTGATCTCCAACTGACAATTTGTCCCTCCATGTATATATGTGTGCACTTCGTCCGAAACACGGATGGCTTTCTTATGCAAACACTTAGTTATGAAGCTGATTTGTGTAAAGAATTGTTTGATGTATCTGATGAGGTGGATCGCTTGTATTGGTTCTGTTTTAATTTACTGAAGTCATAGTGGACGATATCTGTATCACAGGATGTAATTTTATTATCTTAATTTCTTCGCCAGCAGTCGATTGTCTCATGTTTTGCTTTTATTCTATTTTTTATAAGCAGCCCAACTGTTTCCCCCCAAACCCAAAATATAAAAAATAAACAAGTTTACTCCAATGTGCCTCTTTACCTAGTTCACATTGTATTGCCTTAACCAAAAGAAAAAAACAAAAATTTAAGAAAAACTAAGATAACAATTCTGCACATTTCTCAATGTTCAAAAGGCGATTCTATTCGCAAGTTATGGCATAACCTCATTCCTCTACCAACTCATTTTCTTCGAATGCAAATGGCGAAGTATATAAATGGCCCATTTAAATTGTCCTTTAACGATCAAACAAATACGTGACCCATTTACCATTAATATTTGAAGCGGTTATTAAGTGTATCAAGTAAATATCCGAGTGCAACAAATCATATGTTTGAGTTATACTTGCTAATGACATGTCAAATGAATCAATTACAGCAACTCATTTTCTTCGAATGCAAATGGCGAAGTATATAAATGGCTCATTTAAATTGTCCTTTAACGATCAAACAAATACCTGACCCATTTACCATTTAAATATTTGAAGCGGTTATTAAGTGTATCAAGTAAATATCCGAGTGCAACAAATCATATGTTTGAGTTATACTTGCTAATGACATGTCAAATGAATCAATTACAGCAACTCATTTTCTTCGAATGCAAATGGCGAAGTATATAAATGGCTCATTTAAATTGTCCTTTAACGATCAAACAAATACCTGACCCATTTACCATTTAAATATTTGAAGCGGTTATTAAGTGTATCAAGTAAATATCCGAGTGCAACAAATCATATGTTTGAGTTATACTTGCTAATGACATGTCAAATGAATCAATTACAGCAACTCATTTTCTTCGAATGCAAATGGCGAAGTATATAAATGGCTCATTTAAATTGTCCTTTAACGATCAAACAAATACCTGACCCATTTACCATTTAAATATTTGAAGCGGTTATTAAGTGTATCAAGTAAATATCCGAGTGCAACAAATCATATGTTTGAGTTATACTTGCTAATGACATGTCAAATGAATCAATTAAAGAAAGACGCGTGTAATTTGAATTAACAAACTAAAAAAGTACATTTAAAGCCAAAAAAAAAATCTTTTTCCTTAGTTTTAACAATAAACCCCATCTTCTTGCTTTCACCCATAAGCGTCCCCCATCCCCTTTCTCCAAATCCACCTTCATCCCAAATCCCAACAAATTAAACGTAGCTACTGACTAAGCATTGAGGAGCGATGCGTAAGCTACGCTACTTTAAGCCCAATTAATTGAAGAACACAAGAGTTGAAGAATATAACAGTTTTTTTCGGTGTTCTACCGACTTGCTCAAATTTTTCAATCCAATCTCGGTCGTTACTTCACCAAATGAGTCCAAAATTGAAATGAGAACTCTAATCAACACCGATATCAAACCGCAATACCCAATTTTTACAAGCAATAACAAAATCAAAAGACCCAGTCGTTGTCTTCTTCTAATAGACTTTAAAAATGTCGAACCAAAGCTAATTGAATCAACTCCAATCGCCTAAATCCGTAGATTCCGTTTCACAAAGAAGTTTTCAACAAAGGCTTCAAACACCTAATCAATTTCGACCTCCAATTTTCAGATCGAAACAACCCAGCTTCTTTCACAATGTTGGACAATGAAGAACGGTATAACAAAAACTCAAATTTCAAGAGTTGTGATGGGTTTCGAAGACTTCGTTCCAAATTGAAGTCTAGAGTAATGGCAAGGGTTAAATTCATAATTTTACTACCAGATAATGAAGAACAAAGATG